TCGCGGAGATTTTTTTGTTGTTGAAGGGTATCGCGGAAAAAGTTGAGGGGGGGGGGGGGGGCAGGCGGATTCTTTTAGGGTTAAACTTCCTAAACTCTTTTCATAAGAGTGTATTTTCTGATTTACATTATATTCATTCATAATTCTATGACCTTAAAACTCAAGAGATTGCAATGCCTGATTACAATCATTCCTTATCAATACGATAGCCTTGTATCCTCATAAATCTCAGCAACCTACGGATTAGTTGGCTATTATCCAGCCATTGGCTCCAGTCCAAAAAGTTGTTGAGTTCATATACTTCTGGACCAAATTTTCAAACTAGCTTTATTTTATCGTTTTTATCATTGAGAAACTTAATATTTGGCATGATAAAGAATGCACATTTATGGTCTGAAGTACACTTGAGCTTTTATGGAATGAAAAGTGTTCTTGTAAATTGTTTGCTTTGTTAGTTTGTGAATCAATCAATCACACACAAGATAAAGTATAGAATGCCAGCGCAGGTAAAAGCAATCAATGAACACATTAGGGTGCTATTGCAAATGAAAAACAACTTGGACATGTCATTACAGGTACTGGTATTTGCCTCATCCATGTACATGTGCATGTACACTGTATATAAATGTAGGCCTATGTAAAGGCCTACTGTGCCATTGTGAAACAGTGACACCCAACAAATAAAAGTAATAGATTTTCAGAAGAAAAAAAGAATGGAATACCAGAAACTGACCATACACTTTCATGCCTTGTGAGTTAAAATGTGATATGTTTATACAATACATACATATGCAGACATAATCAGCTTTAAATCATAATTGAAATCAAACTAAAGTTGTAATTAAGATAATTAATAAACCACGTATAATTAATAAATAAATCAAAGGAAGAGCGTTATTTATGCTTGCTAGTATCCATGTGCCGAAGTAGTGATGAGAAAACCTTTCCTTTTCTTCTATAACTTTAACATAACAGAAAGCAAACTTTCTGAAAAGTGCTGACTCAGCATTTTTTTGAAATGGCATAAACTCCCCTATTTTGTTGGGCAAAGTTTTTTCGTTGGAACTTTTTCTAAAATGTTAGATCTTATAATTGTCAGACATCCTTTTATGCTATTCAGAATTTAAAATTTCAGACTTTAGTGGAAATTAACTACCGGTACAACTATATATCGTATAATACACCATGTGAACTTTGACCATGGCCTGACCTTGACCCAGACCGCCAAAACCAGGCATCCCCCTAGAATGACTTCTTGGGACCTATACAGTAAGTGTACCAAATTTGGCGCATTAATCCGGCATTTTCATTAAGCCACTGGACTATGTGTGTGGTGGGCAACGAACCTCGTTGTTATGGTAGGAAATTTTAGGAAACGCGCTGCTTCGTATCACTCCAAATACAAGTAATACGACCACGAAATGAACTCATGAACACGGAAAATACATACACAGACAAGAGAGATCAAGTTCTGAGAATTAACTTGTTCGTGAATTAACAAAAATGTTCTTTCTCCATTGGTGTTTTCTTGGCATTTTTACAATGTCTAATCCGACCTGCAACTGCAGTGCACTGCGGCTGTCTTCCTCCATTGCTGCTGCCCAGAAGAAGACTCGGGAGCACCTGCACAAACGTGTGTGCAGAACCATTTTGGCACAGCGCTATACTTCTTATGAGGATGCAATGCAGTTCTGCAGGGCTTGAGTTTCTTGCTGATAGGAGGGAGAGTCATTTTCTCAGGTTCGCTGAAGGGCTTGCCTATTTTGAATTTTACAAATGATCTCCTCCCTCTTGCCAGATGGGAGTCTCACGCCTGCAACCTGTGTTATGCGCATCATTACTCGCACTTTAAAAAAACTCAATTAATAGCAAAGGCCCCTAGCCGGTTCTAAACATACAAATACTTGTTTAATAGGCCTACTGGCCAAGCACATACATGTAGGCCTATTTATTCCCATTCAGTAATGCCATTCGGTCAAAAACTGAGAACTCAATAACAAAACAGCCTGTTTCAACTTTTTATCAACTTGTTGAACAAGTATTCTCTGTGAGCAGCTTTTAAATATATTTCTTTAAGATTTGAGGTAGACAAATCTATGTGCAACTTATGGGTTTTTCTCTATATAGGCCCTACCGGTGTATTTGTTTGATTAATGTTTACCATGATTTTGATGTTTTTAGTATTGTAAATTATCATACAATTTGACCTTTGGGTCACAATGTGAAAATGTGAATAAATATACCGTACCAAAAATGTTTCTGCCCACATAAGCTGCATAGCCAAAAGCAAATAAAAACTGTAGTAGACACATTGCATCACAACATCATTGACCTTACATGGAAATAAATAACAAATATTTATCTGTAATACATTTTCCAGAAAAAACATCTATCAGTTTATATTTTACGCTTTTATTTGCCAATTATATTTACGAAACCCACCCGCAACCTCCAACTAGACATGTACCCACCTCTGTTCACTACTTTCTGTTGTTCTGGGAAATGTCTGAGCTGTCAGAAATATGACACCATTATTTGCAATGTCACTTCTTAGTGGCAGTCTTAATAGTAGTGCCACCCGTGGCCCCAAAACGAGCATAATATACGGCCGACTGCACGTGGTCGGCCACGACGTGATTGCACGTGAACGCACGAGAAAACCCAAAAATACGCACTGAACACCTGTATAAAATTCACTCTCCATGCAAAATGAAAAATAATTCAAGCTAAATAAAGGTAAATAGGACATGTATGTAGAATTCATGTAATGACCACTCATACATTCAGAAGTGGCTATTCACATCAAAAATTATTTTTTGATTTTTTCCATTCGTTGTAACTTTCGTTCTGGACCAGCTATCGACATCGAGCAAAGCCAAATGAGTCTGTGACCCCTTCATGTACACAGGGAAACCCGCCAACCTACCTATCACGTTACTGCTGATCAGGGAGAAGCACTCAAGTCACGCTCCACTTTCATTTCAGCCAATAAATATGGGCCGCTGGTGCGATATCGGAACGTTTCGGGGGACAACGAGGTTGAGCAAGGGTGGTTCATTCAAACGGCTGTTTTATGGACATATTTGAAAAGCTGAAACTCAAAGTTTTCCATTGGTGTGAAAATATTTTTTTGATAAGAAATGGTTGGCTGTTTTGGAGGATAAAAGTTGGTGAGATACCTGTGTACTCCCCAGGGAGCTGAGATGGTATTTGTTTCATTGGCCCAATGAGCAGGGTAATAATGATGTGGCGCCTTGACCAACAATAATGGTGGATATGTGCCCTTTATACCCCTTATTATTATTATTACTATTAATCAACTGTTTAAATTAGACATCAAAAGGTCCACTTCACGGCAAAAAAGACCCTCGTCTTCCACCAGGCAGACTACTTACGACCCTGGTACATGTATAACATAGAAAATAGTAAAAGCACGGTGTCGTTCTGGACAGTACATGTATTTAAAATCTACCGGGGTAATTAGTTGAAAATTAATTAAAGGAAACCTCCATGGCTTGGATATTTACTTACTTAGCCAAAGTCAGAGCATCTGCTTCGACAAGTTTTTTGTCTTAAACAATCACAGTAAGGGAAATTAGCCCCCAGACTGCCAAATACACCACTTCAGGTTCCGATACAGATTTAGCATGTTAAGAATCAGTTTGGCTGCACTATCACCATCCGGGTTGTACACTGTAGTTAGAAAGTTTTTAGTCACGGTGCCGGCTTGTTTTGGGGCTCGCCGGCCAACCGAATATGTACATGCATACATACCGGTATATGTACATTTGTACAATACACATGTACTAGTGTATGTGCAGTTGTGTTACTGTAATTTTAATCTGAAGGAGATTATGAGGTTTTAAGTTCTATAATTTGTTTACCTTTGTTCCCCAAATAGTTCTTTCAAAAATAAGGTTGGTACCGGGTAGGTCGGATTTATTTTCTTCAGAGATACCACTTTTCAGGTTTTAACCTGAATTCAGGGTTTTTTTTTCAAAAAATATGACAAATTAAAAGTGCTGGATTTGGTCTGAAACATCCAGAAAATTTATGAAAGGGGGTAAGGGTGGTTTCAGGTTTTCTAGTAGTGTTTCAGGCTTTTTATTGATATATTGGTGGCATCTCCGTTTTTTGCACATTTTTGTGTGCTGATCTAATGGGGTATTCAATTATATGCAAATTTTGGCCTGAGCTATTTCCATTTGCGCTACGAACGCTGCAAAAAAAATGGTCGCAAAAAGTGATAAAAACTTGCCTCAATTAATTTTAAAAATATTTAATGTTGATAATTAGTAAAAAATAATGAAAAATTCATGTCGTGCACACCACTATGGACCAACGCTAGTCACGATGGGAAACTGGCCAACACTGCCCATATGTCGCGCTGCACGCACGGTAGACAGCGGGCGTGAGCATGGGCGTCCCCAGGATTTTTTTCTAGAGGGGGACAAAGACATTTGTTTCCCAAAATCCCTGTACTTTTCCAGCATATTCTCAATTTATCATTTTTATCGAGGGTGGGCAGGGGGACGTTTGCCCACCCCACCCATTAAATTAACAGAAATATGACTTTGCACCTCTTTTTCTCTTTTGTGTGTGTTTGTTTTCCCTCCTTTTTTTCCTTTTTTCTTTCTCGGGGGGGGGGGGGGGGGGGGGCAAACGCCCCCCTTCCCCCCCTTTCCCCCCCTTTCCCCCCCCTTCCCCCCCCCCCCCCACGATACCCATGGGCGTGAGCAGCGTAATGCACTTTGTATCTAGCGGGCGAAGAGCCACGTGCTGCGGCACACAATTTCTCAAAACCGCTGTAGTGTATCGCCCCAAGTATCAGTACAACCTCAAAATATATTCATGAACGTTTATGTGTTCTTGAGTTCATGCGTAAATAACATACTGGCTTTAATAGACAAGTCATTTCATGAAAAATGCATGAATTTTGTAACCAATTATTTTCACACAGTTGATTGTTTTATGTTTTGTTTTGTAATTTATCACAATAGTCCGAGGCTATCAGAGTCACTGCAAGCAGCCAGAATGCAGACACAACTTATCCTGTCTTATTTGTGGTCAGACAACAGAAGAGTGTTCTCTCCTGGGCTGTACCTTTCATTATACAGTCAATGTAAGTATCCATTCTAGATAACACTTCCAAACTAATCAAAACATGGCAGACATTATTAAAAACATCAATCTAGCCAACATTTACGTGCCTGCTCAAAGAATCTAGTCCCAGTCCACACACAGACACACACAGTCGTACTCAACAACTCTTGTTTTACTATACTACTGAGGACAATGCTTTGTGTTTTCCTTTGTCCCTGTAATATAACACTCTCCCATAGACTAAGCACACAAACCTACCACAGAGGACCGTTTCAAACAAAAGACCCAAATCCCGAGGACTGAAAGGATCTGTTGTTCTCCCTTTGTGTGTCTGTCCTCGGGGGGGGGGGGGGGGGGGGGGGGGGGGGGGGGGGGGGGGGGTTACAGGTATGTAGAACAAGTACCCACCGTCAATCGTGGACGTCCTATTGCCCCTCTTTTGTTTGTACTTTTTAGGAAGACTCCCATATGTTTTGTACATGACCCCAATCGTGGACGTACATGTATGCGGGGAATCACGGATGATATTGTTCTCTTTGTTCTCTGACATTTTTCGTCCACGGTTTGAATGCCTGAACATGCCCACAGGTTAGTTTATGGTGTAAATCGAGGACTTTCTATTGTTCCTCTTCCCTATTCCCTTGTTTATACTCAAACTTTTTTGCAACAGCTCTCATTGGTTTTGTACACAGTTTCTAATCGAGGTCGTCCTTGAATTGGTTTCTGTCCTCAATTAATTGATGATAATTCCTTCCTCGTTACCGATTTGTCTTTGAATTCCGGATTTCTGTGATGATTATCGCGGTAACGCGGTATCAAGGAAGGAATTATCTTTGAATTCCGGATTTCTGTGATGAATTATCGCAGTAACGCGGCATCGCGGAAGGAATTATCTCTGAATTCAGGATTTCTGTGATAAATTATCACAGTAACGCGGTATCGCGGAAGGAATTATCTCTGAATTCTGGATTTCTGTGATAAATTATCACGGTAACGCGGTATCGAGGAAAAGGTACCGGTATCTCTGATTTCTGGATTTCTGTGATAAATTATCACAGTAATGCGGTATCGCGGAAGGAATTATCTCTGATTTCCGGATTTCTGCGATAAATTATCACGGTAACGCGGTATCGAGGAAAAGGTATCTCTGATTTCTGGATTCTGTGATAAATTATCACGGTAACGCGGTATCGAGGAAAAGGTACCGGTATCTCTGATTTCTGGATTTCTGTGATAAATTATCACAGTAATGCGGTATCGCGGAAGGAATTATCTCTGATTTTCCGGATTTCTGCGATAAATTATCGCGGTAACGCGGTATCGCGGAAGGCAATTCAAGCTTCCGTACTAGGGGCTGTTCGTTTGGCGGAAATATACCACCGATCTGTGGTTCAGCAATAGACTTTATTGGCAATAAAGGGGACTAACTTATTCAGATATATCCCACAGAGAGCGGGACTACATAAGCTTCACAGTGACAAGTGATTCCATTTCCAGGCTCACACTCGACATGTACACAACAATCTTATACAAGGATAAGCTACTAGTGTACAAATAATCTTAGCAAGTCTCTTTTATTATAACCGAGTGGTCAACTGCACCACTTCATAAACTTGACTTATCATAAACTTAATCCAATATAAAGCTTAAGGCTTTACTTGTTCTTAAAGACTAAATATAAAACTTAAGAGCTTAACTTTTACTTAGTAATTTAATATAACACTTAAAGCGTTAGCTTGTTCTTTATTATACAATATAAGATTTAATATAAGAGTTAACTTCAATTTTGTATTTCAATATAAACCTCAAGGGTTAACTTCTACTTAGTAATTCAGTAAAACACTTAAGGACTTTATGTTTTACTTTATAAAACAATATAACACTTAGGGTCTTACAATGTATGTGTTACTCTATAATTCAATGAAACACTTAAAGGCTTTATGTTTTACTTTATAAAACAATGAAATACTTAAGAATTATGTGCCTCAAATATACCTCAAAATGATGTGCCTCAAATATACCTCAAATATACCTCAGGGCTTGGATATACCTCAGATATACCTCAGGACTTGTGTTACTTATCAACCAGTGGCAGTGGTCATCTGCACCACTAAACGAAATAATTGGGAAGTGTTCTTTCACTTAACTCAGAATAACATAAACGGTCTACAATAACAAGCTAGATTTATACACGAATAATCCTAGCCGACTTGCTTGACAATCACATAAGCCAAACTGCAAAGGTACTTGTGACCCACACACTCGGTAAGTTATTCCCAATCACTCAAAGTAACCCCGCGATTATTAAGAGGGTGATTAAATAGTCTCCGTAGTCCCTCTGCAAGGTTCGAGAAGCTTACCCAGTAAAACTTAGGAAATCATAAGCGCTCAGATCAGCCAGGGCCGCCCAACCGCAGCTACACCACGTTCGGCACAGAACAACGGCACGCAATGCCCTCTAAAGTCAGGTGAACAATTCCCCGGCAGGAGAAAGGACAAGCTCTCAGGTGTCCAGGTCGCCCCGACCGTCCAACGGCAGGCAGACCTTCATAACAACCTTTACATCTACGCTATCTCCTAATAGAGAGTGCTCCCAGACCTCTAGGGACGCGATACCGCAGCTACGCCAGATGGCACAGACAACGGATAGCAATCCTTCGGACTGAACTAGGCCTACATTGATTCCCAACAGTCAGGTTCACCCCAGGGTCCGACTATTCTCCTAATCAAGCTCTCAAATAATCTTAAATAATCCCTACTTTCTCGCCTACAATAACCCACCAAAATGCAAGCACTGACCGATCACACCAGGGTGCTCGCTGGGTCTTTTCCCCGCTTTGGTCCGGTCACACCGCCGTTGAATTCTCGCTCAATGCAAAGCACACGATAATTGCTGTTAACACATCGAAATCTTTTCCAGGAGTGGTTTCCCATGCTCGACCATGAGGTGATCACCCCAGGGCCCAGCAGGATGCGCGCTGCTGATTGGTCGCTTCGCGCTATCACGCACTTGCCCACGCGCTACTAGCCTGCATAATTTATAACCAGACATGCCAAACAGCCTAGTGCACATGCCAGTACGACGCGCATGCTGATTGGTTGCCCTACTGACATCACGCGCTCTAATACGCGGGCTGGCGTGCTGGTTCTTAGCTAGACTTGCATACTAGTCCACCTATACCCCTGTTTCGTCACACTATAAAAAGGGCCACAAAAGTTATATCAAAACATTTACGATCGATACTTTTAAAAAAAATTATGGAAATTGACGACGAGAAATAAACACCCTACCAGAGATTGCTGCCGGCTGGTTCGGCCGGTCCCCGGCCTAAAACGCATGGCCCGGCAGCCTGTGCCGGCGAATTACAACATTTCCCCGCAGCACTTGATAGATTATGCAACCCATCATGTGTTGTCTGACTGGAGTGCTACAAATCTTGCTTTGTGGCAACAGATGCTGATTTATTTTGTCCTAAGAATGAATAGGTGTTTTTTACAACAAAACTTATCAAATTGTTGTGATTACCTAACGAGTACTCACGTCAAAAATCAGGTTTACGATCATACTTTTTTCAAAAACAGTCAACACGATGCATCCATTTTTATGGATGAATCCATTAATTTCGTAAGGGGTGATTTAGCCCCTGTTTTACATTTTACATCATTTCTTGAATTCATTTCTTGAATACATTTCCAAAATTTATATTGTGATGTTGAAAGACTGATTGTCCAATAAAGAAATGTTTCGGACTTCATAAAAAGTATTAGTTGTCTCTTTAAAAAAAAAAAAAAAAAAGCGGAAATATTGGTAATTATTGTTACCAAGAAAGTACACCCCCTTATTACCACAAATGGTGTGGTCCACAAGTGTGTGCATGGGGCATGCCTGCAGCTAGCAGCAAGTACCGGTTATGTTGGGACTTTTGCAAAGACATCTGCATGATTGTAGCGAGCAAGTGAAGGAAACAGCGTACAAGACATTAGTTATCCCGTTTAGAATAGTGGGAAAACATTTGGGACCACACACAAAGTCTGACATAACCGCACTTGAGAAAATCCAACGTAAGACAGTTTGTTTCGTAACCAGAAACTATAGTAGGGACGTCAGTATCACGGACATGTTGAAAAAAAACTGGGCTGGTTAACTCTGTAAGAACGCCGGGCAGTTTGTAGGTCAACTTCCCTATACAAGGCCATAAATAGCATGGTAGCTTTCCAGGATGATAAACCACCCAAAACAGCTAACAGGTCAACTAGGGGTTGCACACCAAACTCTACGTTCATCCCACTTCACACCAAAAAAGGACTGCTACAAATATTCCCTCATTCCACGTACAATCCCAGAGTGGAACCTTCTTCCACTCTCCATACAGAAGTCACTACTCACGCTTGCAACTTTTCCTTTGAGCAGCTGATTTTCTTGTTTGTCACTTCACACTCATGCCATTTAAAATGGAAAAATACTGTATAAATTCTTGTAAAGATTGGAGTTTCCTCGTTTTTTGTTTCTTCCTAGTTGCATGCCTGACTACTGCTGATACTTTTAAAGCAGACGTGTTAGCCTTAGATGTTAAGGACCTCATAAACCACACTCAGCCTCTCAACTATTTCCTTGCTGCCAGCACTACGCCTGCATGTTTATATAACCCTCCAGAGGGTGTTTACGTAGTACCGAAGCAGGAGCAGAAGCGGAAGTAATATGTTGCAAATCAAGATAGCAAGCAACATCATGTGAATATCACCCCGCAATATCTTGTGAACAATGAAAAAAGATTCAACAAAATCAATATTTGTGCATTGTGGTAACTGACACGCAGATGGATGTGCGCTCCACCACGTGCAATCCTACATATCATTTTGTGAAATAAGTCGCTGAAATATTCAGTTTTAGAATGATTCCATAAAACGTTTATGTATCATATTTCCCACTGTCCTCACTGATTATGAGGTGTTTCCCGGTCCTTATCAATTATCTTTATTTGGCAGAAACAAGCTGAGTAAAAAAACAAAGGGAAACTC